AGTGAGTCAAAAAACGGCGAGATGTATTCCTCTGCGTCCAGGTGACCAAACTATGCACTATAACTTACTTTGTTCGTTTGACACACAACAGGGCGACTGACATATTGGCACAAGGACGGTGACTTGTGCGTGAATTAGTTTTAAGTGATATTAGACTTACGTTGCATCTGCCGTACTGTCTTACGTCACCCACCCATGTCCGGTATCAAGACGGAGTCAGGAAGACCGTGGGATCGAGTGCGTTCGTTTGATATAATTCTTGGTAGCCCGTCATTACTTCGAAGGAATATATTTTCTCGCCTACTTCAACTGGGTGCAATCGCAGTGTTTATCGTTGGCGTTGTTGTGAGGGTTGTATTAGTAGTGGCGTTAGAGGCCGAGGGGGCCTCGGAGATGGGAGAAGGTGTCGCCGTAATAGTTAACTGAGTCCTGCGATGTCCAACAATGCCAATCCGTGCACCGAATGTCAGCCGAACGGGCTGGAAGCGGTTATGTGCTGGAGTTTTAGGTTCAGGCTACTGGAGACCCGCGGACCGCGCTTTTTGGCAGCAGATAGCCGGCTAGCTTCGGGAATGGTTTTTCCCTCCTTCACCGCAGTGCTACAGGCCTCTTGATCACAAAACGAGGTGCTCTCAGGCTCGCGTAGATTTGCATGTTCTTGAAAAGAAGTCTTCAGTGTCGTTTGTTTCCCCCCTCGTCTGTAAGCAGCGACAGCGAAGTCCACATAGAGTAGGCGCTTGCGTGGCGCTTATTGTCCGTTATGGTGATTTTACCGCTCCATTGCGATTTTATTTACTTCAGCATAGCGTGATATCAAAGTATTCTCTTTCGTTTTGGGGTCCTGTCTTGCCATCTCAGATTTACTGTTCTCTGTAGACATATGAGGTGAAAGTAGTAGTTGGGTTTTCTGGCTTGGTTTGCGTAGACTGTCCAGGTCTCCGCTCTCGTACAATAGCACATTTAAGGCAATACTCCTGTACATCTTGAGCTTTGTTTTAGGTGAATGCCGCGGCGCTTATGGGCAGAGTATCGTGATCAGCCGAATGCCTGACTGGCTTTGGAGATCCAATATAGCTCATTAATCACTAACTTTAGCGTTCCTTGAAATTTTATCGCCATAAAAGCAAAGTTTTTTTCCGATGCAAGCCAAATTTCATTCGCTTTGATCCTGTGTGGGGTTGATGTACGAC